AGTGGTGTGAAGCTTGACTTCGTTAATTCTTTGTATGAACCGGAAGTTCTCTGGGACGTCAGGGACTGGAGCCCCGTCTGGTGGCGTTTGCCATGAAACGGGTCTATAATAAGTATGAAACGAGTATAGGGCTCGATGACCTTTAGCCTCTCAATCCCGGGGTTGGGTGGTGCTCCTAGTTCAGGAGTTGCCTAGGGCCGAGTTTTGTTTTGAAAAAAGCTAACGTCGCACCAAATTGTCTCTTTATGACGCCGCGCGCGCTTCCCTTCAGCATCACCCGGATACGAAGCCTTTGCGCTTAAGTTTCTGGGTCATCAAGAGGAGGGAAGCGGGCTTTCTTGCCCATTTCTCTCCCCGCTCCACGTGCTCGTTCTACACCACCTGTTTCTGCTCCTTTCTTTCTCGCCTTTTCCTCCCTTATCCGTTCTGCGCGCTTTCTCATACCACCTGCTGCTTCTCCCGTTTTTGCGTGCTGGGTCCGTAGCTCAGTCAGCAGTGCACTCGGATTGCACGCCGGTGACCGGGTTTCAATTTCTGGCTCCGGTTGCAGTTCTTTTTCAAGATCGTTTAGTTGTTACAAACTGACCGACCTACAGATTTCGTGCCTACGCGACTCCTCAGGTTGGTTGGCTCTGTAAGACAACATATTTGAAAAGAAAACAAAAAAGTTAGTGACCGTTTTGGAGTTCCGGTAGCGTTTTCAGCACCCCGAAAATGAGCCAACTTTGCCCCAGAGTCAGGACGACGGTTAAAGTGAAAACAAGACAACAGTGTAAAAAGAAGCATGCTAAGGTGTTTCTTCCATGCATTTCGGATGTTATGTACAAGATTCCCGTCTCGTGCGGCAGAAGCTACATGGGATAAACTGTACGCCGTATGACCGTGCATTAGGCTCCCTGGGCACAGCTTCTTTTCGAGAGCTACAGTGGCAGGACACCTACCGATCTACTGTAGGGAATGCTCGTGCCAACCGTGCTTTAGGGACAGACCCATATGCATCTTGGGAAGGCACACGGACAAAGTGTCCCGGAAAGATCTCGAGGCACACGAGGCATACATAGAAGGGACAGTTTGGATTAGTAGGCTGTTTCGGTAGATCGTTTCTTCTGTCCGGCAACGGTCTCGGCAACCCGCTACGGTATCCAAAGCTCTGCAGTCAAGGCCTGCGGCGCGCAGGCGCACTAGCGGCATCCTCGTTGCGAAGTGCCGGTAGTGGAGTGGAGAAAAGGGTCTACGAAAACTTCCTAGTGAACCATCAGTGACGTTGTTGAGCAAGACATGGCCTCCAAGATGCTCCACCGGCCGTCCCATTCCACTCAGTCCCCAGCAGGTGGAGGGTATCATGCGAACTCCTCCGCACACTGCAGGTGGCGCCAGAGACCGAGCCGAGCAAGGGCGTTTATCTTCTTCCCATCATTACCCTTGCTATGCATCTGCATTGTCAGTACAAGAGTTTAAGCCCTACCAGGACCAGTGAATCCATCGTCGGGGCGTCGTAGAAGAGGGCAGCCTAAAGGCAGCCGTCTTAGGCTCTTTAAACCTACGCCGTAATCTTTTGGCTCAATAAACACGTTTTGAATAGAAAGCTGAAGCCGTGCTCGCCACACCGGCGTGTTGGCTGTGCAAGGTTTCAGTCTTAAACAAAGAAAGTTGGCACGTGGGCTATTTTTGTCCACGTTGTACAAAGCTATTATTAAAATAAGACGACCAACCAATCCCTATATCAGGGCTTCTGATTTGGAGATTGGTTGGTCGTCTTATTTTAATATTTATTTCCCCCAGCCATAGAGACTTCTTTCTAATGTTTTCATTCAAGTTATACAAAGCTCCTGGTCGAGGAATGCGCCAAGCAACGCGACCAGGTTTTTTTGGCAGATTCTTGAGCCTGGACGTATGTTCTAAAGGTATGTTCTAAAAAAATACCGTTTAAGCTAGCCGGAGCGGTGTATGTGCAAACACCGTCACGATAGGACGGTTTCATGAAACTGCTTCTTATACGTGCACAGTGCTTTCAGTATAGCGCCTTCAGTGTATTGTTTTCTTTATTCGCTCTATTTGGCATATAAGCCATCTTTCGTTCGCAATGGTTTCTGGTGGGTCTCAGAAGTGCGTCGAGTTTAGTCGCCGACGGCGGAGACGTAAAAGCGTGATCATGAACATGTTTGGGTTGCATAACCTCTCGTTTACTGTTTCCTTTGTCTTCAGAGATGAGGTTGCTGCTATAATGCCGCTTTATTTTTATTTTTTTTGTTGTTGTTACCTCTATGTGTCATCGCCTTTCTGCCTGACTCTACACCGGGTGTTGACCTTTCGCTTGAAACCGGTCTAAAGTAAAATCTTTCATTCCTTTTAAGTAATTTTTGTTAATCTCCGTGCTTAAATATTTTTTTCACCCCTCTATATAACAAAGTGCATTGTGTGTAACTTGTAGATAAATTACACTCTAAAAAACGCCGATGCGTCTATACTTTCCAGCACAACGCTCGGAGAGCCAATCACCGCAACTTATGGAGGCAGCTCAGCGAATGACGATGCCGAAACATACGTTTAGACCAAAATAACGCAGTCTGAGTTGGGACATTGAGCAATGCAAGCGTGACGTGTTGCATTGCTTTATGTAACAACTGAGACTGCGTTTTTTAGTCTAAAGTTTCGGCATCGTAATTCGATGAGCTGTTCCGTAAGTTGCGGTGATTGGCTCTCCGAGTGTTGTGCGGGAAAGTAGACGGACGAGCTTTTTTTGAGTGTAGTTATTTTCCGCGACAACCCATAGTTTGTTTTCGAGCGAGGTGCATCAGAGAGTGGTAAAATTGCTTGTGCCACATCTTCCCCATAACTTTAAGTTTGTTGGCAAGCCAGCCCCTTCTCATAATCGTCTTTAAACACTTCCCAGCTAAAAAAAAAAAAAGAAACAGGCTAGTTTTGCCAGGTTAACGAACACTGACTGATTAATTGCACGGCGGTTACTCATGTAATCAGTGTGCCAAGCATAAATAGTCATCACAATATGACTTGTGCAAATTACGTCATAACGAAGAGACCAGCGCCGGAAGGAATAATGAAGACAGGATTTCTTTTCTTTAGCGGAACTTTATTTTGTTTTGCTGCACGGCCGACACATTCGTAAAATCCCATCCATTCGAAAAGCGCTTTTAAGTAGTTCCAGCTGCCACACTTCAAAATATGTGAACTATTTCATAAGCACAACAAATTTGTCATTTTAAGATGTAAGGGTAAAGCGTAAACAAACTGGTACACAGCTTTAATGCCAAACCCAAGACGGGGTACGATAAAAAAACAAAACAAAAAAAAAACAAAAAAAAAAACCCGAATTTTTCTATTTTGTTCGTTGAATATTACGCCCGAGTTGTGAGGCAATCTCGGTAAGCATAATCGCGATGAATTAGCTCATGTACGCTGGTCAATGCTAACGCGTGTTTCACATGCAGCTGTTTTGGCCCTAGAGCGGCGCGATTTCTGCCGTCGCGGCGCTCTGGCCAGCACCAGCGGTTGAGCGGCACAAGCGCCGCGACGGCAGAAATCGCGCCGCTTTAAGGGCCGCCCACACTAGCGAGAAAACGCGCGTGGCACGCCGATCGCGGCAAGTAACAAAATGTCGCCGAAGCACAGTCAGCGCCATGAGCGCGTGCAAAGACACGCCCTTTATCTTCCCGCTTAACCGATTTATCGGCGCGCCGGGCGCGTTTTCTCGCTAGTGTGGGCGGCCCTATAGGGCCAAAATCGCTGCATGTGAAACACGCTTAACGGTGTTGCACAATAGTTCGCAACGGAACAAATACATCGAGCGCTGATCGCGGTCTGAAATGACGTATGTACGAATTCATTTAATAGCAAGTTCGTAAATGAGAGCGGAAAAAGCGTGTGCCTGTATAATCATAGTGTGACCAGTGGCGTGCGTACATTCTGTTCTACGCTGATGTTTATTACATTACCGGTTGTATTTATCGCAATGGCAGCTTTTGTACAGGTCCACTGTAAGCTAGAACGCTTCGAAAACCGACGCTGGTACAGCCACTCGTCGGACCTTCGACGGTCTTCACTCTAGAAAAACAAAAAGGGTGTATTCTTACACCCTTTGTTCCATATATTACACCCCAAGTCTTCAGTTGGAAGTACAGCTCACTGACGTCGATCTGACGGTACTAACGTTCACAAGAGGCTTGATAGCCGTGTGATACAACTTATTAAAATAGTTAATATACATGTTACCAAATACAAAAAAAAAAAAACAAGTTTTTTTCTTTTGTTCTACCTCAAAATCTCAATGTTTACTTTCTGTGGTCTTTGATACGGTACTTTAACCATGCAATAAGTTATATCGCACCTTTATCGAGCCCCTCATAAAATTTGGGGCCATCTCTTTTACTATAGTGCTCTGTACGTCGAACTGACGTTTTGGGGTGTATTATATGGGACAAAAAAGTGTAAGGTGATACCCCCCGTTTTTTTAGAGTGTTGTCGGAAGTTCTTAATACCGTGTCAAACAAAAACTATTGTGTACTCGGCGTTGTCTTCTTCCATCTTAGCTGGCTCTTGCACGCATGGAGAGTGGCTTTCACGCACAATTGACTGGGTTCGCAGCGCCGTCACGCGGCGAGAATATACCATTTTGAGCCGATTGGGACGGCTGGAGGAGCGCAGCCCCGGCGCATGGAAATCTCGGAGGCCATGAGCAAGAAAATAGATTTACTGAAGTAGACAATAGTGCCCCCGCACTTGCGAAGGTGTGGAATTCGGTGATTTCTTTCTTTTACTTACTTGCTTGTATAGCAAAATCTCTAGTTGCGTGGTTGCGCCCTGCCCCTCCCCCCCCCCCCCCCCTTGTTATCTTCGTGTTTGCTCTGTCTTACCTATGTACGATCTAGGAAGACAAACCTCTGTCTAGTCAGCACCGTGGTCCACACGGCGTGAAATTTAAACATATAAACATTATAGTTCGTGAAACTGTATATTTATTGAATCCTGTCGTGTATGCACAGGCGACGTCGGGCAGTCAGTTCTTCGACAAGGCGTTCCTGCACTACGGCGCTTGCAACGCCAAGATAGTGCATTTCTGGGGTTCCCACAAGCCGTGGACGCAGGTCTACGACTGGACCACCAACTTGGTGCACACTAAGCGAGGCTGCCCACACCGAATCGAACACCTACAGAAATGGTGGGTCTTCGACAGTTAGGCCAAGCGTTCTTTATTACCATGTGACTAAAGAGGCGGAAGAAAACAGAAAAGATGCATTGTCTCACTGGTGTATCCATTTTCTATAGGCCTGGCACTTTCGTGCCCACTAAAAGAAGCATAATTGTATACATGTTATGCAATGTCGTTTAATGCACACGCCGCCTAAGAAAATATTTTATGCTACGTGTAATGTTGGCGTAAACGCCGCTATACTTTGTTTTGTCTTAAGCACGACCGATACCAAATCCACGAGTCAATGGGGTCAATGGGGCCAATCAAGGTTTGCGGTAAGTGCGTAATCACGGCATTTTTCGTGTTTCCGTAAACGTTTTACCGTCAACTGATCTAATCATGCCTGAAGAGCGCGCCGTGAGATTGAGTTTTTCACCTGTGTTTATGTGCTGCATGTAGCTTTTGGCCCCGCTCGGGCTTGAAGAGATTGTCCGGCAAAATGTCGTGTTTAAGAAAACAACTAAATTATAGTCATTGCTTTCAGAAATATCGTCGGCACAATATCTGAATTTTTAATCCTCCGTGGCTCGAGTAATTCAGTTTTGAACAGAGTTCAACTGCTCAGCTTGCACTGGTGAAACACACGGCATTTTCGTTGGCAACAGCAGAAGCTGTGACGTAACATTAGGCAAAGAGAGCCCTCAGCTTTTTGACTGCTGTCTTAGTGAGATAACTTCGTTCTAAGAAAGACAAGATTTACGGTATGGAGAGAAGCTTAGTTTTTTGACAAATATCTTTATACGTACCATAAGCCATGTTGATCAAAACCTGGAATAAATCAACGCCCGTGACTCTGACGTTACCATGCCTAATGTGCCGTCATGACACGACCAGCCATGCGTACTTGTGAAATTTGACATCCAGTTTTGTATTATTGTTCATAATTAATTTAATAGATATCAAGGTGCCTTTTAATTAAATAAATATCACATCTAACTATATTAGGGCCCACTCCACGTGACGAGCGCAAAAGCTTAGTAACTTCTGGATATCCCCGGACAATTTATTTATGATGAAACAAAGTATAGCAGATGGACTTTTATGCATATCTATTTGGCGATGAAACTGAAATAGATTGAAACCCCTCGTTGCATTTCGACTTCTGTCGCCCGCCGCGTGTGATCGACCAAACGACCCGTTCCCTTTACACAATGGTGTTGATTACCATTCGTCACACACCGAAGGCCCAGACAAGAAGAACCGTGTCTTCGCTCGCGCCGCTCTCCTTCTAGCCCACTGGGGCGGGTTGCGCTTGGCAGGTGTCAGCAGTGTTGTGCCCGTTACCGAAAAAAAGTAACGAAATAGCGTTACTCGTTAGTTTGGTGAAAAGTAACGCGTTATCGAGCTACGTTACTCTTTTACAAACGTACCGATATGCCGCTACCGTTACTTTTCAAAAATTACGAACTTTACTTTTACGTTACTTTTCTGTTCGAGTACATATGTTTGGCATAGATGTATGATAAGCCTCCTTAACAAGCTTGGATAAAAATAAAAATTTACACAGTGGTTTCATAGTGTTTTGATGCGCGAAGCAGCTTAATTTTCGGCATGCAGATTAGGCATTGAAACTGCAAATTACCTGATTCTGTCTCCTTTAGTTGATACATTTCATTCAGACCTGCTGGCCATGGCGACGGACTTTCGTTATTTATGCCCATCTCACGCGCAGAATGAGTTGGAGATGTTAGTCAATCGGCTTTTATAAACTACAGCATGCGAACGAGGACTGCTGGAACACAACCAGCCAACCAACACCGGGGTTGCCAGGTTGTTTCTAGCTGAAACCGCCTGATGCCAGACGGTGTAGCCCAAAAGGAGCCAAATGCAAAAGATTTATGTAGCCCACAACTAGCCATATTCTGCAGAGCCCAAAACATTGTGCGCTCGAATGTGCGAGCTCAATTCGAAGGCCCTCCGTCTGCATTCTATAGGGTTTAGGAGCAGCTTGCAAGATCTACGATATCTTTAAATGTATTGAACGTTTTATGTCAAACAGAAAAGTACAAAACGTTTCCAGTTGCGTTTTTACAGACATAATGTTATGAGCACCCGCTCGTGCCCACTGCCCGCCTCAGTAGGGTCAATGTCCCTACTGCACTCGTTCTTGCCAAGGAAACTGCAAACTTTATCTAGAGGACGTTTTGAAGAGTTGGAAGGGACATGTTCTTCGTCAGGTCTGACTTCGTGAGGTACATGTGACTGAATACTTTCTCCACGGCGGCATTCGACATGTGCAGTGTCGGGAGCGCGATGGCAAGCTCGGATAGCAACGGAAACAAGGCTGGATCGATCTTGGCCATGTTCGGAATATTCATTGTCCCAAATTTGCTGTCTTTTGTTGTCGCTCATTGTACTTTAAGAAACTTCTATTTGTCGCGGAAAAGCCTCCCTTGTTATATCCCGTACAGCACGCGTTATCGGGCGACATCAAATTCTGCAGGATGTCTTGAGTTGGCTTTAGTATCATTTTTCCTCGGATGATGTGCCTCCTGTAGGTGGATGGTGGGAAACTCGAGGAAATAAGAGACGCCAGTAGGAAGCACAAAGAACTTGGAGGCAAAAAATAAGCCACAATTCAAAAGCGATGTCGTCAGAGCTGAATCTAGGTCAGGGTAGCTCACTTGAACTTATAGGTTCTGGTAGCACGCCCACGAATATTCACGCAGAAAATCCCTTAAAAGTGGGAATCCAGAAAGGGTGGACTGTCGCTTTCTGTTCATGCTAAAGTTTATTTTGTACATCTACCCTAAACCAAGCAAAGAAAAAATAAAAAAAGTGCCGCGTTAGGATTTGAAATAGCCCAAAAATTGCCACATAGCCAACTGCCGAATTTCGACGCCAAATGCCTGACGAAGTAGCCCAATATGGCTATTGATAGCCCAACCTGGCAGCCTTGACCGACACCCCCCATCCGGTTTTAGTAACAGTCCGGTTCATACTATTAGCAGAGACTGATTTACTTCACTATCTGGAACAGGACACCGGTTACCAGCACACTGCTATAATCACTTGCTGCCTCTTACCAGCAGTGGCTCTTAGTTTTTCTGTGAAAAAAAGAAAAGAAAAGAAGGTTTCGTGTTTGTAAGTTTTCTTTACAGGTTTAAAACTTTAAAATTTTTTATTATAACCTTAGGGAATTAAAGACTAATCAAGCGAAAGATTCTTCTGTGTACAAAAGTGGGTCAGGAACTTTCAGGCAGCGAGGGGGAGAGCGAGGCTAAAAATATTCCACAAAGGGTGTTTCTTTTTTTTTTTTGTTTTGAAACTAGAGAAATGAGCAAATCGCTTCGCCACTAGTTGTCCACTGTTGTAAACGGATGTCTCTCCATGGGCTTCCCCCCCCCCCCCCCCCCCCCGCCCCCGCTGTCCACCTCTGCGTGGATTAGGGCCGAGCGAGCCGGAACTGCCGAGTGCGGGGACTAGGCCGACGACTGCGAAAGGGCCGGGAGGGGTGTCGAAGCCGAAAGAGGGGGGAAGGCCGGGCACAGCGGCAAGGCTAAGGGAGGCAAAAGGGCCGAGAACGGGGGTGGGGATTAGAGCGATCAGTGCACGCGTGGCTCCTTCGTCGACGCGGGAATTCGTTGGAAAGAAAACCGATAGATGGCGCGCCCTGTTTTCGCTCCTTTCTGTTTGGAGACCTGTTTGGTTTGACTAGTCTGGCGTGGAGCACGGTGGAAGAAAAATGTGTTTCTTCCACCGTGGCCTAAAACCCTTCTTTTTTTAACACACATTTTGAGCGAGCGATTGCCACGACAAAGTTCAAAAGAGTAGCCGGCGCTGCTATAGCAGCAGCCAATGTCTTCTTTTCATTTATTTTGATCAGTTATTAAAGAAAAAGAAAGTCTGGAAAAGCGAAACAACGTAATCCCGCTGCATGAGCTCTCGTGCAGCCAGATCCTCTTGCAGTGCTATGAACTCGTGCTCTAGCTTTCGCTATAATACACGGGGCTCCTAAATTGTCTCAACATCTTTGTCTTCTATGTGCTCGCCCAATAGGGCGCGGGCACAAGCCCTGTTTGAATAGAAGCCTCTTGGCTCCCCTCTAGGCTGACTGGCGCAGTGTCTTCAAGCGGCAAGGTCAGGAGCTTCATTTCGTCGGGTACTACTACTTCCGACTTTATAAGCCCGCACAGTGGAAGGCAAGAGGCAGAACCTCAGTTTTTTCTGCGCCCCTGCCAACAGAAGAAAAATAAGCTTACCATGATCCCACTGATAAATTCGGAGTATACTTGATGTGTGGTGTCTGAGGTGGCCAAAAAAAAGTGCAAAATACTCCTACGAGGGCAGCTAAGCTTATCGCACATATTACACATTCTGTGCACTCCGAATTGTGTGTGCGATCGATCTAGGTAATTTGCAAAGAAAACGTCCGCTAAGCAAACGTTTGGATACAAAACAAATGAGGAGATCTACGGAATGGGGATTTGCTCCTTTTTGATCCAGAGGCCCGACATGGAATTCTAAATTGAAACCCGGCTCACACCGCTTAAACCTCATACAAAAGACAGTCTGACAGACACGATCGAGTCACCGCGAGATCCGTGTTTCGAATGCCGCGTGCCATGTCTCTTCTTCAACTCATTGCCCTACAGCATTCGAAGAATGGACCTCGCGGTGACTCGCGTTCGAATCTGTCCGCGGACCGTCCTTTGCAGGATTTCAACGAATTCCCGGCTTAGCGGGAATTCGTTGAAAAGAAGAACGATAGATGGCGCGCCCTGTTTTCGCTCCTTTCTGTTTGAAGACCTTTTTGGTCTGACAAGTTTAGACTGGAAACCTGTTTTTTTTCTCTTTTTTTTTAACGCACAGTTTATTATCAAAACTTTCATAAGGAAAAATATGAGGGAAATTAACTAACTCGTCCTGAGTTTCAAAACCCAGGATGGGTTGGTTTCCTTAATATTTTTAATTGAAAATCCACTCGCTACGTAGGCCAAAGTAGCAGACCTCTTATCCGCTAGGCC